TTATATAATAAAATGTAAAAAAAATTCTTTACTGAAAACTTTGCTTTAACTGCATCGCTATACAAAAATACTCAGAATTGTTAAGAACACTTCCATGGGAGATTAGTTGAGATGATTAGTAAACATTTGAAGACCAACGCGATAAAATTGCATAAAATTTCTATTGGCAACTGTTTTTTATGTCGTTTTCAAAAAACAAGTCATTTCTATGGTTGTAGTTTTTTTTCTCTTCAAATATAAGGGGGGTGATAAAGAGATTTAAATTAAAAATAACGAGTTTGGTTTGTGCTACACTAATGTAACAGACTGAGGAATCCTGGAAGTATCAGACACTATGGAGGGAAACATGCTAACTGAGACGGGTATCACAAGGCCCCGCAATATATGCACAAGCCCCTAAGTGGTTCCAAGAGTCACAAGAATCTCAGGGTTATCACAAGCAAACTTATTTTTTAAATAAGCTATACAAAGACTTTGTTTTGCTTTTTTTCATTCAGAGTAAATCGCCATCATGAGACGGGTACAGAAAGTGAGAGTTTTTTAATGACTGGATTTTAACCTCTCTGTGCCACATACAGTATAGCAAAATGATTTTTCCACACATCCTAACTAGAAAAACCATATTAAATTGCCAACTAAACAACTGAACCACGTGTGGCCAAGCATCCATTTTATCTTTCTCACCGCTTATCTCCCATTAACATTAGTTTACACCAGGGACTTCTGACTTTAACCAAACAAAAAGTAATTTCCTTGCAAGAGGTAGTAAGGCAATGACTGTGCTTGTTGAATTTCTCATAGCTCACTTCCAGTCCATAGCCATTATTCTATGTGTTACCATTAGTGCTTGAGAATGATTGATTCAAAATTACCCCTGAAGGGTGCAGGAACTTGTACCCCAGCTCTTTACTACAGAACATGCAGTAAACTATATTCCTCAGTGAAGCTAGGCCAGGATTTATGCTCACATCTTCTATTTTGGAGTCAGGTATTGCAATGACTCAGAAGTCATTGTCCACGTTCCACATCTATTCTAACGTTGCCCCCATTTAGCAAAAGTTTATTCTTTCTGTGTTTTGTAAAGGGCTGGAGCTGTGAATCCAGTTGAATGGTATTTTGTTTTAGCCATCGTAATGTCAACATCCAGTAATCATTGACATGCTAATCTATTTCTCTTTTCTTTTAATGCATTTAAACGAATGTGAACGTGGACAAAAATGGTTACATTGTATGCATTTTAGCACCAGAGTCAAGTTTGTGTAAAAGTGATTGTATTCGGATTCTATTGGGTTTACCACAAAGAAACGAAAGTAGGTTTATAATTAAACCAAACTAAAACATCAAAATAGTCACTTAACCAAACAGCTGCCATCACTAAACACAGGGCTGATGTACCAGCTAGTAGAAGGGTGTATTTTGTTTGGAGTTGTGCCACACTTGACCGAGCCTTCAGCTCCCCTCTCGACTTTCTACCCCCTCCTCGCTCCCTCCCTTCCCTCCCCTCACCCTGACCATTTCCCCCCTGCTCGGGTCCTGACCCAACTGTCCAGCGCCTTGGGACGTCCTTCCGACATGAAAGGCGCTCTATAAATGGAATCTTGTTGTTGTTGTTGTTTGCATCAATTAATTTCACATTGTAGATTCTTTGTATTTATTTGAAAGGCTCTTATTGTGAATGGTAAACTGTCCATTTGCTTATTGTTTCACATCCAGGCCTCATCATCTGGCAATGTTAGAGCTAAATCTATAGTCAGTGCGGATCATGGAGTAAAATACAGGTACTTTCAGGTGACTTTCTGAAGAAAGCAAGAGTTGATTCATGGCATTCTCAGATTGTGAACAGATTTATGCTGATCATATTTTATAGTAGCTCTACTTACATTTAGTTTTAACATCACAGAAACATTTCAAACATCTTGCAGTAGTTTAGCCTGGGTCAATTGCAGGATTAAATACAAAGGCATAGCTTTCCTAAAATACAGTTTTCTTAAGTTGTTTGCAAATGATTGGCAGAATGTTTGCGGAAAAAAATAAGCATTTTGAAATAAATTACAGAAAATAGCTTGTAACAGTTCTGCAAAAGTTGTTTTCAAAACATTTCTCATCTTTAAATATTTACTGCAAATTATGTATTACATTGTAAATAAGGTTACATTTGAGTCCTTGGCATATATTCAAGATGCAAGTTAGAACTTTTTGAGATGATTCCTAATATACAGGATTTTTAAAATTAATTTAACATTGCCTATATTCTGTTTGGTCATAGTGTAGTGCTCCCAGTTAACATCCTGTAATCCCAAGACACTATTCAAGATAAATGACAACACCAGATCTTGGCTGCAGTTTTCTGGACCAAAAAGCTATGAATGAATGAATTTGGTCTTAGTTTATAATATGTTTCAAGTTGTGAAGCATTTGTAAGAACTAGTATGATTTTGTACAATTTTGTCAATTGTGCTACGAAAAGACTGGCAATATAATACCTGACTGCCTGAGATGAATAGAAAATGTATTGATCTGGACTGCTCAACTCAGTGACTAGTGTTAATGGTTTGGTTTTCAATGTACAAAGGGCATTAATTTACAGCACTTACTCTGAGTTGTCAGGAATATAAATCGCAGTCTCCCAGTTGATGGCATGTTCCGTGCTATAAAATTTTGCGATGTTGCTCCTGGTGCCTAAGAACTTAGATTTATTAGTGTTCACCTTAATTACTTCAAGTTTGTCTTCTTGAGATGAATAAAAGTATTTTTTTAAATATATAAGTTTCAAACCAAATTCCTTGCTGAAGTGTGACCGTTGAGCAACATATTTTCTAAAGTGAATTTTGTGCAGTATAAGCCTCAAAAAAAGCAGATTTAAGATCTCATTTGATCTGCTTTCAAATGCAACTTGATTAAATTCTTAAGCTTCCATCTTGACACAGAAATAATTCCATGTGAAAGCTTTTGCATTACAGCTCTAGAGTAATCCATTTCCTCCTTGTTGGTAAGAAAGCAGACAGCAGTTAACTTAAGTGCAACTCTATTTGGGTTTCTGGATCCTTATGCAAGCGAGTTATGTAATCTACCGAAATTGCAATTTGGGGAAAAAAAATTGGCTCTATCAATTTCATTGATTTTTGCTATAATAAAGCAACATGTAATAGCAAGGTTTGTTACTCTGTAAGAGTAACGGGAAGAAAGAAAATTGGAGAGGAACAACATTGACCTAGTTAAACAGCTTTGAAGCAGTCAACAACTTAAGACTTTGAAGCAGTCAACAATTTAGACTGAGTTTATACTGTCAGGAGGGAACCCGCTTCAGTCCCAACAGCAGAACGATGTGAAGCTTGACACCAGATTTAAATCTAGGATTTCTTGCTCCAAATTGCATCTGATCAGAGCCTTGATTAAGCAAACACACAATGCTGATGATTTAATGCTGCAAGGCTTATTGTTTTCCAATATTATTGAGGCGTTGATTGAGTGGCAATGATTAACATTATCATTGCTAGTTAATAATATTAGAATAAAGTTTTAACATTTTCGTGCCCTCCAAAGGCTAGCGAGCTTTCAAGCAACCAAGGACAGAGCAAACCCAGTGTTATATGCACAAAATACGTATTTGTACAGCATGTCATACTCACCCATTGCTTAGATAGTACATCAGGTGAATAAAATAAAAAATAATAATAATCCTTGCATTTGATTTAGGGCATTTCACTCCAGGAGAATGTCTCAAAGTGATTCATAGACTTGTGTATTCTCCAGGCAAACGCAACGGCCAATTTGAGCACAGCAATGTCCTACAAACAGCCATGAGGTTAATGACAGATTTTATCTGGGGAATTGTTATCCACGGCATAACTCTACTGTGTATATAATGCAGTGATTGATTCAAATTCATTGTGTGGATAGTGCAGGAAGTGATTCACAACCATTGTGTATATTGCACATTGAGATACTCACATTCAATATGCCAATCCCGTATCATCCTGTTCACTCCCTCCGCTCAGCAAGCTGTGGTCTGCTCCACATCCCCTGTCCAGCCCGCCCCACCATCAGCGGTCGGACCTTCAGCCTTTCTGCCCCCACCCTTTGGAACTCCATCCCACATTCCCTTTGCCTTGCTCCCTCTCTTGCCTCCTTCAAAGTGGATCTCAAAACCCTCCCCTTCGACTGCGCCTTCAGCCACCCTCCATGTCCTCCACCCTCCCCGATCCCGACCCCCAGCTCAGGTCCAAATCACTGACTGTCCAGCGCATTGAGACATCCTCCCGACATGAAAGGCGCTATACAAATGTAATCTTGTATTGTATGTAATCCAGTTTAGTGTTTCAAAAATTGCACTGTAAGATTGTACTGGATTTGGTCTGTTCAGTATAGTCTTCAGTGTCATTAAAAAATGTTTTGGTACTTGGATAATAGAAGTATCAAGGGGTATAGCGAAAGGGCAGACATTGAGATTAAAAGATCTGTCAAGATCTAATAAACCAATGGAACAGGCTTGATGGGCTAAATGGCTTTGTGTTTCTATTTTCTATTGTTATACTCTGTGTCTGAATTTACAAATAGGTATATACATGTCAACAAAAGTTGACAAGGTGCATTTAATACAATAAATTTGTTTTGGCTGGGAAGTTTTAAATCATGTTAACATGATCGATTTTAACTTGTTTTTGTTTGACGGATGTATTATGCATGCTGGAATAAACCTCATATTGGGTTGTGTAGAATTGTCAGCGAATTAACTTCTCATATATATTCTGTGGTAAATGTAATTACTGTAAGATGGGTGTATTATTATCTGTGGTTTCTTGCCTTATGGTTTGATAAGAAATTTCAAAGCTGGTTTCTAATACACACCTGTATTTGTTTCTTGTTTATTCACTTCAATTAACTTTACTTAGTACAGTATAGTTGACCCTTCACACAAGACTAACCACTAGACTGGCGAAGCACAAAGTGTTGTTTGTGGTGATGTTCACTGGATGCCTGTTCTCTTGTCACCCACATAGGTCTTGTGGAAATTTGCCTGATGCATCCCCTCGATGTGGTGAAAACCAGGTAAGGCTATGCTTCAACAAGTTTTATTGATACTGGAAGTCGTCCAGAATGCGAGCTGTCAATCAGCTGATTAAAGTGTCAGGGCTTGCCAAAGGAATTGGTGGATTAATGCCATTCCATGAAAAAGCATTCTGGGAAAATTTATGTTTTCTTGTTTTGTCATAGACAGAGAGTGGTGCTACTTTTTTTTTAACCCTTTCACCACAAAATGTTCTTGTGCAAGAACAATGCCAGCAAACTCCAGTGCTTTTTCAGGGCTTATCAATAACAGGATAAAATCTTGTGTAATGCAGCATCATTTGCAATGAAGAATATGACCAGAAGCTCTTGTCATTGTTAATTACATACCTTTCAAGCTGCTTCTTCCTTAAAGTTCGCTCCTGTCTTTTGAAGTGATTTTTTTAAAGTTGTTGCAAACAAGGTTGGGTGGATTGTGCCACAGATTAGCATGTGACTCAGACCGACTGTTGTAGTGCATGCATCAGTCTTCAATCAGAAAGAAATTCTCCTTCACGCAAGTACCAACATGGGGGGTGGGAGGAAGGCGTTGAATTATGTTCTGAGTAGTCAAGATGAGATCAAATTCCCTGTGCGATCAGGGTTTGTCAATGAAAGAGGAGACTTCTCTAAGGTATACTCAGTATTCCATTCAGTTTCATTGTTTAGCTGATGAGCTCTTGATCAGTTTGCTAACTCATTAACTCCTGTGCCAAATTGGCTTGATTTAAATTGTTTGCTGGCTGCCGTTAGCCGTGTGACATAGGTTTGAGCACAGATTCACATCACGTTAAGTGTTTCACTCCAGTTTGTAACCGAGTACAGCAGCAAATAGCAGTTGCATCAAAGCCAGTGTAACATAAGACGAGAACACTTTAGCTTGCTGTTCCTGAATTGATGCAATTTGCCCATTAAATGAAAAGACTTGAGTTTCCAAGGCAAACTGATGACAGTGGGAGAAGGGGAAAATGGGAAATTTCTCACTTTACATTGTTTTGATTGGAGCTTTCAGCCCAATGGACGCATTGTTTCACATTGGATTGAAAACAAAACGCGTGTTGTGGAAAGTTTACCACTTTGCACTTAAAACAGTAATGTGTTTGGAGATAGTGAACGTTAATTTGCATTTGTGGCAAAACTGAAATCTTGAATTGCATTCGGTTTGTGAGGGGGCTGTCCAAAAAATATATTTTTAGGAAAGAAAAACAGAAAATTTCAGGAAGGTGTCTGTGAACTGAAAACATTATTATCAGGATTCCACCCCCCTTTCCTGACCGCCTTCTAATAATGTCAAAGGTTTTGTGTACGCGCTTCACATCTGTTTCTGGTGAATATACATTTTTTTGGCAACATGAAGGTAGGACGTTCTCAAATTCTCAAAATCATTACAAATATACATTCTACCAAACAGAATGAGTTTCCAATTAGAGTTGTTTTCTACACAATACCTTTGCTTACGTAGAACCAAACCTATTTGTTAGGCTTTATTAGTGGATTGTGACAAGAATGCGATTGTACGGTTGAAGTGAGGAGAGTTCCACAGAGGCAAAGGGATGGAGTTACGGCTTTTCATTAACCTGGAAACCTCCTATTTACATGGTTCACAGCCTGGTCTCAGCTCACTTGGAGGTAACAAAGGGTGTCGGGCCCAAGATGCAGCAGGGGGCTCTCTCCTTTAGGGCTGCCATCTGAATCTGATCAGGTCAACTGCTTTAACTCCTGCCTCATTAGGGGAAATAAACAGGAGATTATGGTTCATGTAAGGATCACATTACAGAGAGTTGAAGCTTGTTCCAGACATTAGGTAGCTGATTATTTTTTGTGGATGCCTTGCTGTTTCTCCTTTAGTCAAGAATGCTAATTTGACTATTTTTTGTTAAACTTGCAATTACATAGGTTGAAAAGGAAGCAGCAACCTAACTAGAAAACTCATTAATAAAAGAAGACATGTCAGTCATTGGAGCACTTCACCTACTGGGGATGATGTCAGTCTGCTACAGAGACTTAGTACTGATGAGGGGCAGTAACTCAGTGCTCAAGCGATGCTTTGCCCTTGACATTTAAAGCATTTAATAACTCTGAATGAAGATCTGTTAAGTGCAGGAGAATGCGCTCTGATTTTAAGGCATATTTAAATTATGAGGGTGCACAAGCACATGGGTCTTTAATGTTGTATCCTCCCTGGTAAATAAAAAGAAGGGAATGAAAACGACTGTATGTTCTTGCTTGCTGCAGCCTAACAGTCTTCCTGACAGTTTTTATGGTCTTTGGCACATCAGGGGAGATGTCAGCTGATGTCACATTGATTCAGGATCATTTACAGGCACTTGAAAGGTGGGCAAAGGCAGTGTAGTTGTTTGTTACTGTTGTGTGTAACATTAACTTAGCTAGGAAAGGAAGTGTACAAACTTTTATAAAAACACAAGTGTTTCCTTGCTGATCCCTGAACAGTTCATTATCTGCAGTGCCTAAGGCAAGTACAAGGTCTATTGTGCAAGTGAAAGTTACTCTTCTACTTTCTGTTGTATGATTGCAAAACTGCTGATAAGCATGCTTATAGAAACGCTTGTGTAGAAAGTTAATCCTCTCAGCAAAATTAATACTGAATGTTTGTAGCCTAGGGTTAATCTTTTAAAAAANTTATGATTATGTTGGGCCAATATGCAGCGATTTTTGTTGAGATTCCTTTATGAGGAATATGAGTGGATTCTGCTTCCAGTGACTGCAAATGCATCACATCGACCCACAGGACCTCAACTCCAAAAGTAAATCGCAGCAGAACAGAGTTCCCAAATAGGTCGTTGTGATATATTTCTGATTTCCTTATTAAGGAATCTCATTAAAAGTTGCCGGATATTTGACTTTGATTGGGTTCCAATTGGAAATGAAGAGGAGATATTATTATCCTTGATGAAAACCCGCCAAATATAGCTTGTCAGTTCTCACTATAAATAAGGTAAACACCTAAGGTTTCAAGGTGAGAAGGGGATCAAAGAGAGAGATCAATTGTTTTTCAGGCCGATACGGTTTATATGTAAAACTTTCTGGGGTAAGATCTACAACCAGTTGTTTGGAAAAAGTTGATCATCTGATTGAAGAACATGAAAATCCTGCTTCCAACCACTTTCTCACAGCGCTTACCCGGAAGCTTTCAAGAATGGTTACTATCTTGCTGACATTCATTATTTTATACAGAGAATAATGGAAATTTAAGATTAATCACAATAATCTTTGGGCTCATGTAATATCGTAAGATCGACGGTGTGTTGTGTGAAACTTGATAGATTCCAGCTTTGTTATTGTGCTCTGGTATTCGCCTGGTTCCGTTGGTAGTGATTTTGCTGCAGAATTAGTCTAGGCAAGCCGACATGCTGCCTGGGTGACTATTTTATGCACGTGTAATGTGGCTATCCCTGTTCTGATATTCTAGTGTTGTGCTTTATTGGAGGATCCTTCCTTCGAATGATACATTAAACCAAGCTCCCATCTGCCTTTTCAGGTGACATTAAACATCCCATGGCACCACTTGAAAAGGGAAGAAGTCTCTCCTGGTGTCCAAGCCAAGAGTGTTCCAGATAAAATTGGTTATTCACCTCCTGGCTGTTTGTCGGACATGCTGTGGGCAAATTTGCATAGTGTTTACCTATAAATACAGTCATTACATTTTACAGTAAATACCGTGAAGCACTTTGAGACCTTTCGATGATTTGATGTATCAAATGCAAGAATTATTATCTGTTTCATAAATATATACTATTTCAGTTTGGAGTTGGCAGTGATGATGCAGTCCACATTTGAACACATGTTTCAAGTAGCCCAAGAGGATTGTCAACTGTTGCATTCTTAAATTAGCTATGTGGAGAAATAATCTGCAGATTTTCAATCAGTAAATTTCTCTGTACATTGTGCAATGGAATGCAATAAGTTGAAGTGACTTTGAATTGAAAATGCAGCTTCTGCTTAAAGGAGATGGCGGAGGCCCTTGAAAGGAATTATTTATAACCAGAGAATATTGGGTAAAATACCAAGCAAATATCTCATAAATAAAAAGGACATTTATTCTTAAAATAAACTGTAGAATTTTCCAGCATACAAATAATATGGGACCACATAACACCTTCAGAACCAGGACATTTGGCGTTAATGTGGTGTGTAACACAACAGGTGATGTTTTATAATAGACCTTTAACTGCTCCAGGTGTCATCTTACATGGATACTAACAATCTTTTACAAGTCGCATTTAAAAATAATGTTAAAAAGGCATAAAACTACAAACAGGTTGTAAAATCTGTTACAAGTTTGTTCAACTGATTGCTGCAGTGTCTCAGAGCACTTAGCATTTGTTTATAATACTATTTATGATCTTGTTCAGCTGATTGAAGTACGCAGTCTTGGCATATTAAAATATTCCCCTTTTACTACAGTGGGAAAATATGGGGCAAAATGTTTGCCTCTTATTAGCGATATTTCTTCCACCAAGGTACGCTATTAAATTCGGAGCTCTAATTAGGACTCATATAACTATGAAATTATAGAAAATTGCTTTAACTCTTACAAACCCCACAACGTCTATAAAGTGTAAATGGAATCATCCCTGCTGTTTCTCTGAGCCCATGAACTGCTGAGCAATCCGGCATTTATAAGAAAATTCCAGGCATAGCAGTGGTTCCCTGATCAACACAACCAACAGTTTGGTATTTAGCTAATTGGACATAATTTTTTGGGGGGCGAAGTAATGGAAGAACAAAAGCCCCCAAACTTGTCTAAATCCTTCTCAATGAAAGATTATTTCACCCACAAGATATACAATAATTCACTTTACAGTATATTCTGTGAAGCGCTTTGAGACGGCTCCATGATGTGATGAGGCACTATATCAAAAGTATTATTATTGGAAGAGGCTAAATGTGTCACTGGTGTGATAAATAATAGTTTTGGTCTATATAAAATGCATGCAGCATTTTTTTAAAAAAATCACAATTGTAAAGGTTTGGAGTGTTGG